TGTGGGTGTCTCGGAGACTGGTGAGAAAGGCCTGCAAATTCCTCCCCATGGCCTCACTACAAACTGACTATCCCTCCATCCAAGGAGAAAACATTGATCTGCCATCCCTTTCCTCCCACCCTCTTAAGCCCTAAGATCATTCAGAATACTTTAAACTTTTGTCACAAGTGTTGCTTATTGTGAGGCAGAGAAGAAAGACAATGGGTGGAACGTGTCACCTCGTTCCAGGCCAGTGGGTTTTTGGCCTCCCCTACGCAACCCCAAGCAAACGCTTGACGATTTCTGGAGACTCCTTTAATGGTCACAACTGGGGTAACTGTCACCTGGTGGGTAAAGGGTGAGGCTGCTGCTCATCACCCTAAAGTGCCCAGGATCTCCTGCAGCAGAGTGGCAGCGGTGAGAGGCTCTGCTTTGTTCGTGTCAGCTGTGTTTCACTTCCTGCAGCCACATCCTGTCATCCCCCACTTCATTTTTGCAACTCTGAAATAACTGACCCAGGATCTGAGCCCAGATCTGTCTCAACAAAAAGTCCTCATACTACTTTTGTGTGTGTACATGTGTGTGTGTGTGTGTGTGTGTGTGTGTGTGTGTCCGTGATGGAGACCGAGGCGAGATGGAGATGCAGGAGGGCCTGGGAGATGGGGGGGCAGGTAGCCCCTCCCTTGCCAGCCTCAGGACAAGGTGGGAGGGCCGCATCTGTGTCCCTGCTTAGCATCCAGTTAGTCCTCCAGGTGGCCTCCCCTGCCACCAGCCGCACTTCCCAACCGGGATCCAGCAGTTCGTTTGCCCCCTCTTTGCACCTGAGCTAATGGCGGTGGCTGTGAAAAGGGGCAAGAGCTTACTGATAGTATTCCCCTCGTCACATTATTTTCCTGTCTTAATCACCTTCCTAATTTGCACTCAGAGTGGAGCACCAGGGAGAATGAGCTCCAGTCGGCATCTTAACTCAGTTCCTTTTCCAGCGGGTGGGTTCCTGCCACCATCTGTTGATCTCAGTGTCTGCCTTGATACTCGATGCTCTAATTTATGTTCTTCCATGTGTGTAATTTGTCTTAGTCTCTCATTTGTTTAGCTCCCAAGTATCACTGCTGCTTTCTGGTACAGTAATGGGGTACCTTCTCTTCCCCTGCTACATCTTCTTCCTCTCCGTCCGGCTCAGCGTGGGTTGGCAGCCTCCAAGGGCATCCAGGGCTGTTGAGGCAGTGGTCAGTGGGTCCCTTTCCCAGGCTGCGGGAGAACAGTCAGGCAGGACCTGCCCCCTTGCACACCACACAGGCTGGCCCTACGCGAACAGGTCCCCTGCTCCTGGCCTGGCTTAGGTACAGGGGGCCGGAGGGAGCAGACTGTTGGCCTTGCTCCACCTCTGCAGGGCACAGGAATTCAGATGCTAGCACTGCCCACAGGGCCCTGACACCCCTACAGGAAAGCCACAAGCTCCGGACCCGAAACCTTGTCATCAAAGGGCGCTTGGGAGAGGGGAACAGAAAAGGGACTGCGGTCCAAGGCTGTGTTCTGTCCCTCCACAGCTGGATCAGTCTGAGCAGGTCCCGTTCCCCACCCCAGCTTGGTGAGCCCAGGTCTGTCAGATGCTGAACAACTCAAAGGGTTTATTTAGCTAATTAACATAGGTCCTATTGCTCTGGGCTGCACTGTCATTTACATTAAAATGACTCATTTGAGGAAAACTTTAACAGAAGAGCCAGCCAGCTGTTGTTTATGGTTTAAAAGAGCACTTTTTCCCCCTTTGAAGGGAGAGATCTGCAGGTCTGGTGTCAGGAAGAGCCCTGGAGTCCTACCCTAGCTTTTGACACCTCTTGAGGTGGCCCAGGAGTCCCTGGCGAAACTCTGTGCTGGAAGCTCATTGTCCAGTGTGCTCTTCCCCTCCTTTATGCAAAACTAGGCTGACAACAGCAGGTTTGTAAAACATCCACTGGACCCCTTTCGGGTCGGGTGGAGAGTCAGGGGATGGGGGCTCAGACATCTCCTAGCCTTGTGTTCTTGTGACCTTCGAGGTGGGCAGCTTTGAACACAAGAGGCCGTCCCACTGAGAATAATGGCAAAACCTGTAATGCCAGCACTTTGGGAGGCCGAGGCAAGAGGATCACAAGTTGGAGCCCAGCCTGAGCAGCTTAGCGACTTAGCAAAACCCTTTCTCAAAATAAAAGCATAGAGGACCGGGAGGTAGCTCAGCAGTGCCGCACCTACCTGGCAAGCGGAAGGTCCTGAGTTCGATCACAGGTACCAAAAAATAAAAAATAAAAGTAAAAACATAGAAAAGGAGCTAGGGATGTTGTTCATTTTAAAGACCATCAGTTCAGTTGTCAGGATCACATACACACTAATAAACTAAACTAAAATTAAATTAATTTTAAAAAGAAGCCATCTCCTCCCTAGTGGGAAAGTTGCCTGAAACCTGAAGCCCTCTAACATCCTTACCTTGGCTTGTCCTTCAACTGTCACCAACACCAGGCACATTCCCAAAGGATACCCGGGCACTCACTCTTGCCTGCCGCTGTAGAAGTCTGTCAGATATATCAGCGAATATTAGAAAATTGAGCAGGTATCCAAACCTCTCCCTGGAATTGTGCCCCCCACAAACCATACTGTCCAATCTTGGAGGGAATTTCTGGAATGACCAGGAAAGGGCAGAAACTATGGAGAACACAGACTTCAGAATCCAGAGCCACCTGCCCATCACCTTTCATCTCTGTCCCAGTGCCTGGAGGTGACAGTTCCCACCCCCAGTTCATGTATGAGGGCAAGTCACTCAGGGCCTGGCACGCAGAAGGCCACCACCAACCCTTACTTCTCCAGGCGAAGAACTCTGGAGAGGGGAACATCTTGAAACAAGGCCTAACTTGGAACCCAGAGTCCACCTGGGGGGAAGATTTGCCTGGTAAGGACTCTGCAGGTGGATGGCCTTTATTAAGATCTGGTGTCAGGCACCTTAAAGATAAATGAAAATGAACAAAAATGTAAAACCTCTCTTGTGAGAAGTCTGATTGGTGTGGTAGGGTTGACTTGCTGGTTCCCTTACCCTTGAGCTTGTTGGAGGGAGTGTTTGGGGACTTCTCTGGTCTGCTGGCTTGTGCGCCGTGTGATCTGGCACCCCAATACTGTCATGTGATGTCGGAAAGAACTCCCCCAAATATATGGCTTCTGAAGCTGGTGTTGGCCCAAGCGTCCCCACCCTCTGGCCTCGGGATTTCCTTTAATTCTGCAAAGTCCTAGAATTCTGTATGCTGGGGTGAGATATCGAAAGGAATATGGGAAGTTACTGGGTGGGGAATCTGAACCCCAAATTCTCGCCCATCAGCTTTTACTGACCACCGGTACCCCATCAGGCCCCTCAGGAGATCAAGCACCCAGGGCCTGGCTGCCCAGGGCCTTTGGGCCTTTGGGCCTTTGGGCTCCGACCCTGTGATGGCCTCTTGTGAATCACACTGGGCAGCAGGTGAGCTCTTTCGCCTTACTTAGCACAGGGCAAGTTTAAGCGAGCCTTTCATTTCCATGCACCTCTAAGACTAAGTGGGATAGTCCCTGTGTCTTTGGTTCACTCGACCCAAACAGGATGCAAGGAAAGAGCTGAGCCGCAGACCATGAAAAAGACAAGTCCTTCTCTCCCAGCAGATTTTGCCCTCTTGTTCCTTCATCAAAAAGTTCCACCCTGGCACCAAAACCCTTGGTCCTGATTCTGACAAGGACTGGTCACTCTCTTTCTGTGGGGTTGAAGACAGCCATGAATGTCCCCATGGACGTCTGGAAGGACCATGAGGCTGTGCTTCTGCTCCTTTTGTTCCTGGGCACTGAGCTGGTTTTATTTTCTACTGTAGCCTGTAGCCCCCACCAAATACTCTCAGAGCAGGATCCCCTTCTGTACCTGACCACAGGCATGGTGCTGGAAAACCTGGCAAGGTCCCGAGCAGTGCCAGACAGGACAAGATTCACTTGGCCATCTTCGAGCTTCAAGCTGTGCTGTTGCAGCACCGTGTCTGGGTAGATCCTAAGTCTCCCCGGTGTGAGAGTGGTACCTTGGACAGCGGCGTTGTTCTCCGGTGAAGATGGGGGGATCCTGCTACCCTTCCAGCTCTTTCAGATGAAGCCTTGGTCGGGAAGGGTGATCACGGAGGGCCCTTCCCCTGTCTCAGGGAGGGGTCAAGCCTGGCCTAGATTTGCCACGAAGGCTTAGTATTCTGAGCCCGGGGCTGGTGTCATCCATGGTGGGCACTTGCCCTGCTTGGGGGAAAGTCTTACAGGAAGGGCTTCCCTTCCCGAGTTAGGAGACAGGGGCTTCATAAAGAAAAACTTCTGCCTTTCCACTCCTCTCTTGCTGGGACTTAGCTGAGGTGCTGGGAGGGCCACAGTCACTGCAACTAAGAGAACCGATTTGGTGAGGATAGTGGAGCAAAAACCCAGAAGAAGCCTGTGTCTTCAGTGACTTCATGGGGTTGCCAGGTCAGCCTTGGACATTTTATTACATGAGATAATGAGCAAAACCCTGTGTGTTTAGGTTGGGAGTCATCAAATTTTCTGTAAAAGAATAGACAGTAAATATTTTAGGTTTTCAGGACATACATACAGTCTCTGCCACAACTACTCAGTTTGGCGGATGCAGGATGACATCAGCTGTAAACAATCCATCCACTAACGAGCATGGCTGTGTGCCAATAAATCTTTATTTACAGAAACTAAAATCTGAATGTCAGATCATTTTCCTGTATCACAAAATATTATTCTTTCTTGGATGTTTTTTAACGGTGTTTTAAAAACATTTTTTAAAAAATCATTCTTCACTTGCAGGTCACACAATACCACACAGCAACAGATTCAGTTCCCAGGCTGTATTTTGGGCCCAGGCTGAATTTTGATTTATGGTTGAATTGACTTTCCTTTTTTTAGCAGCCTACAGCTGTCTTAGGCATGAGTTGGTGATGGCGATGGTGATGTTCCTCATTGGGGGATTTCTACTAACCTCTCCTGCTTTTCTGTGTCTGTTTCAGAGGGTCTCGCTGTTGGAGTGGGCTTTGGGGCTGTAGAAAAGACAATGTCAGCCACCTTCGAGAGTGCCAGGTAAGCCCGCATCTGGCGCCCTGATGGGGTTCGCACCTGTGGGTGCGCTGGATATGCTTTTCACCTGGGCCAGCTGCCTGCACACGATTGTCAAGCTCCCCCAGCCCTGTGGGACCAAGGAGGGCGTGAGCGCAGTGAGGCAGTCAAAGAAGCAAGTTTGTTCCAACTTTGTCAAAGGTGCTGTCTGATAGATAACTGTTTGGAAAACAAAATACGGACATAATCGCATGCTGTAGTCTAAGCACGTTCCATGTGCGCAGACTGGAGGCAAAAGTGTAATGAGGCCACAGTTGTTTCCCTCTCCCCGCCTTTCCTTTCTCTCTCTTGTCTCTAGGTCTCCCAGTCCCCCTTTTTAGACCTGCTCCCACGAAGGCTCTCTTACATGTTTCTCAGGCTGTCATCCATCCTCCGATGCTGATGTCCCTGGGCACCCTTTCTTCTCACTCCCTGGGCAAGCTCCTCTGTTCCCGTGACTCACTGTCGGTCGGGCTGCTGGTAACACTCACATCCACCTCCAGCCTAGATCGTGCTCCTGAACGCGCTCCTGTGGGGCCGGCCCCTCCCGTGGGTCGGGGCACTGGTGTTTCCCAGGATCCTCACACAGCATTTCCGGAGATGGGCTGACAGTCTCCACCTGCTGTCCTGGTGGACCCTGCCCCTCCTTCGGGGCTCCTTGTCACCACTTCGCTGGCTGACCGAGCTGACCCTACTTTGAAACCTCCCTTTCACACACTCATCAGGCCTTTGAAGTTTTTCCTGTCATCTGCTTCCCTTGAACTGAACGAGTCCTCCGCAAGGTTGCATCCCTTAGATGTCACAGATGTGAGTGGGGCGTGGTGCACCCAGGCCCACAAAACCCTGACTCCAGTGCTACCCAAGCTAAGGCCCAGCGGGACAGACCCTTCCAAGGCCCCCAAACTCATCTGCCTTCAGGGGGTTAAGGGGAAACAAGAATGCGTGGAGACAGCTGGGTCCAGACTGTTGGAAATGGCAAGGACCAAGGTCAACTCCAGAGAGCTCAAGTCCTATCTGAAGCCACCTGAGGTCACAATCACTTAAAAACACCATTCGAGTCAGATGGCCCAGGAACATCCAGCTTGCTCCACCAGCTTCAGTCTGGAGCAATCCCAAGTCCTGCTTTTGTCCCACCCAAAAGGAAATGGAATCACCTCCTGGGGTAGTCAGTCATGACTCTGTTGGTCATGATTGTCTGGAACTCACTTCTCAAGTAACCCCTTTTCCATCCTTCCCTGGGTGCTGAATTGGCATGCGGCCTCTCTACACCCCACAAGGACTGTGTGTGTCACTCCTTGCGGTTCTCTGTCAGAGGTGGCGCCCCCTGCGGGTTCAATGTAGCCATTGCGGGTCCCTGATTCACAGAGATGGGTCTGGTTCTGTGAAGTTCCAAACATGCATGGGGTCCGGCCATATTCTAGATCAAATGTTTCCTCTTTTTTCAGCTCCGACTCCTGCCTCTCAGGCTACCTAGCCTTTTCCCCAATCCTCATTTTGAGCAGCGCTGTGAAAATGAAGCCTAGTGTGAAATGAAAGGAGATGGCTGATGAGGAAGGAAAGGCCTTTAGAAAACCAAGGGCTAATAATGACTCCGATCACCCCGCAGTCTGCTTTGCCGGCATGGGCCTAGGGAGGGGCAGCTTGGCCCTCTGCCCCCTTGGCATAGCCACTGACGTCATTAGACCACAAGCAACTTCACTGTCAGGCCGCAGCCAGTGGGTGAAGAGCCCGGAGTGGTTGACCTTATAAGCATCAAAGGCCAGGTCTTCCCAGAGCACAGGAAAGTGTGCGTTCCACACCAGCTCTGTGCCTGCGAGTGACAGCTGTGCTCCAGGCGCCTCACTCGCAGGCCAGGCTCTGTCTGGTGCTACCATGTCCCCTGTGAAGTCTCCGTGTCAACTTGGATGTCCCTCGATTCTGTCACCTGCACTTTCTGCTAATCTTTTTAAATATTTCTGAAGGGAGTGGAGAGTGGGGGAAGCAGGACCCTCCCTCCACAGCCTCTGCCTTCAGCCTCATCCCCCACCTAGGAGCCCCTCTCAAGTTTGCAGCTTTTCTTCTTCCCTTCCAAATACTGTGGCCTTTCTCACTCTTGGGTGATATGTGCAGAGCAGTCTCCAGGCAAAGCTTGTTAGCTGTCTCCTCCTTTAGGTCAAGCCTCAGCCCATTTTCATGAAAGCAGAGGGAGCAGAGGGTGGTGGGGAGTGAGAACTTCCCACTGAGGTGAGGAGGAGGGAGAGGGCTCGATGGACTGGACAGCCAGAGCCACGGAGCACTCAGCCAAGAGCAGTCGGTGCCAGTGAGGTACCTGCTTATGTGGTGAGGACATCTCGTCACCCTGGGGCTGGGGGCCTAGTGCCCGTGTGTGAGGCCTGGAGACGGAGGCCCCTCAGGAGGCAGCAGGAGATGGGCTGCATTCGCTGAGGCAGGGGCTGGCCTTGGGTCACCACCCGCAACTCTAGCGTGAGACTTCTGATGGTTGAACTGCTGGTGAAATCCTGGCATCCGCAGAGTTGAATAGGGCAGCAGGAGGCAGGGCCGCTGAACTCAAAGCATGATCAGGGGGACCTGCACCCGTTCCCTGCCTGCTTGGAATCTCCCGAACTCATTCAGAGCTTTGGTTAGGGGCTCACTGGGCTGCAAATGCTTAGCCTTCATCGGAGCTCTCTCGATCTTCATTCATTCATTATTTATTCCTTCCTTCCTTCCTCAGTGAGTATCCTTGCACCATGGTGCACCACAGTGCTAGTCACTGCAGAAAACATAATTTGAGTGACCTAACTCATCCAGGAAACTTAAAATCTGTCACTAGTCCTTCCAGTAGCATGGTAAACTCAACCGACCTCAATGGCCTACTGTAAACAAACCCAGGAACAAAAATGGCTTATACCACACAGCCAGGGAAAAAGGAGAAAGAAATACCGATGCTTGTGATAAAGGGAGGAACTAAAGACAGAGTGGCAAAAACAGGTTTGCAGGAAGGGAGACAGGACTCTGACCATGGATGTCAGGGAACTAAAACACTCCTGGCAGGAAGTGAGGGGGCTTGGGGCACCACCTAGCTATGAACAGGTCTATAAAGCTGGTCCAAGGACCTGCATGTGGAATTTGCCCTCTCTGCAGGATCTTGGATGGAGCGATGGAGTATAGGGTAGATAGAGTAAGTCATCTGTGAGATAGCAGAACTCTAGACGTGCACCACACAAATCTTTAAGGGTACAGGGTCATGTCCTCTATCTTGTCCCAGAAACCCCTCGTAAAGAAATTAACATAATAAATGATCTAGGGTAATAGAAATTTTCTAAGCTTTTACCAAAGCCAACAGAAAAACCCTCTGACAAACCCTCCCACTAATCAGGCACACTAGGGGCTGGAGAGCAAAGAAAGGGGCTCGTAGGTATAGATAAGATTATCCTAAAATAGAAAATCAAGTAGAGACAAGCCACATAAGGAAACAAACAACCACCACGGAAAGATGGCAACCACATGACCAATGATATCATAAGGCTGTATGAGAAAGATATCAGACAAAGCCCAATTGAGGAACAAAATGTATGATTAGCATCCTTAAAACTCATTGTCAGTACAAAGGAATATGAGAAGGGCACAGTCCAGAGAGGGCTAAAGAGACTAGATTGAAGGTGTTCTCCTGCGTAACAACTTGCCACAGAAAAGGGACTTCGGGGAAGACCTAGTGAGAACCGAAAACACCGTGGAGCATAGCTAATAGCAATGTACTGCCATCATTGCCTCGGTTGTGACCAGTGCACCACCATCCCGTAAGATACTTACAGGAACTGGGTACAGAGAATATAGGAGCTGTGTGTACTGTCTTGGAACTTTTCTGTGTACCTAAAGCTCATCTGAAATAAAGATTTTTTAAAAAGCTAGATGAAGATGCAAAAATATGAATGCTTTTTAATACTTCGTAAGGGATAGAAATTAGAAATTATAACTGAAAACAGGCAGCTTTGAGGAAAAAAAGAACCACATAGACCTTTGTAAAGTGAAAACCGCACACATTAAAATGAAAACACTATGGAATAGTTAACTGAAGAGATAGAACTGAAGGTAGAATTAATGAGGTGGATGATTGATCTGAGGAAATCACCCAGAGAGAGCAGCACACAAGAGAGAAAGAGATGGAAGGTACGAAAGATAAATTAAGACACGCAGAAAATCAAGTGAGAAATTTAATATTAAGTAATAAGAACCACCAAGGGAGAGAGTAAGAAAAATGAGAACAATATTAAAGCATTACAGAGAAGACTCTTTCAGCAGTGGAAAAGATATATTTAGATTGAAATGGCTCACAATCAAGATGAATAGACGCAGTCAGATCATCATGAAAATATGCTTTCTTTCTGAGCACTGGCAACTGGGAGAACCCGAAATAACAGTTGAGGAAGACTGTGCTCCTTCCTGGAATGGCGGAGCCGCAGGAGACTTCCACGGCTGTCTTCACAGAGCATGGGGACGTTATGGCCATCCTAGGGCTACTTTCGCCTATGATCCCAAGTGGTATGAGGAACGTATGACCTCTGCCATAACGACTTACGGCTGCTGTGGAAATGCCAAAGTAGCCACAGACAATCCATAAATCAGTGGGTGTGGCTAGGCACCAAGATAAGTTTATTCTCCAAATCAAGCAGTGGCCCTTGGGCCATCCTTGACCTACCCTTGTTCTACACCACGTTAGACTATTCACAGAAAGAAAGTACAAAGGGCAGTTTATGCTGCTCCTGTACACCCTTCTATGGAATCAATGGGGTGAAGGAAAAAGAAGATATTCAGAAATACAGTAGTGAGGCTAAAAGAATAATTGTACTAATGGGGGAATGAGATGGAGAGAGAATGAGAGAATGAGCAAACAAATGGGGGACAATGGGAAGAGAGGCAGAAACGGTGTGGGATAATTCAGTTGTCCGATGATTGCACTCATCTTTTCATAAACGTAGGTTTTGATTTTCAAATTCTAATTCTGG